ACAATTGTGATTTGCAAACCAATTAAGTTGTAAGCATTTTCAATCCACCCTAAACTTCATTTTTTTTCTCATTTCTTTCATCTTTCTCCTCCAACCCTACCATATTTTCATCCTCATTTTTGGATATAAGAATAGTATTTTCCAATATTTAGGAGAATTCATATCTCTAAAAATGGAATTGAAAATTTGATTGTCAATTTTAGTCTATCTCATTTTTATTTTACTTATTTGTAGTTTATTTTTATCTACTAATTATAATTTAAATATAATATTTAATATTTGTAATATCATGTTATATAGACTTTAATATTTATTTATTGAATTCATATAAAAAAATTTAATATCTACTAAAGACTTGAAACTTGGTAATATAATTTATAATATATAGTAATCAAATATGATCGTGATTTTGATAATTTATTATAAATATAATCTTATTTATTTAATAATATTTCATAATAAAGCAATAATTAATTTAAATTTATTATGTATAAATATTTTATTTATGGTAATATAATTTGTAATATTTTTGTAATGAAAAAAATATAATATATAATTGTTAAAACCTAATTAATAAATATGTATATTTGACAATATATACAAGTTATAAAAATGAAATATTCTATGAATATATTTTTTTGTTGTGATTATATGTAAACTAGGTTACGATTTTTGGTTGAATTATGTTAATTTTTGTTGAATGTTATAAAGTATGTTGCTATATTTTGTTGATTTATTATGATTATATGTAAACTATGGTACGATTGTTGGTTGAATTTTGTTAACCTTTGTTGAATGCTTTAAAGTATGTTGCTATATTTTGTTGATTTATTCTTTTCTTTTTTTTTTTTTTTTTTTTTTTTTTTTTTTAAATTTGTTTAATGTTATAAAGTATATTGTTATGTTTGTTGATAGATTGAATCATTTTATTTGTTTTTGGGTAAATGAAGAGGAATTTGTTGAGAAGACACCACAAATTAATTTAATTGATGATTTAGAAAAAAATGATCAACCAAATCTTAATAAATGAAAAAGAACAAGTATCAAAGAAAAAACAAGTGGCAAAAAAAAAAAAAAAAACACAAGTGGCAAAGAAACATCCTCTTGTTGGGACACATTTGATAAAGTTATGATAGAAGAGGATGATGATGTCAAAATAAGACATGGGAAATGTCATTGGTGTGAAAGGCTACTTAAGCCCGATGTGGATAGAAATGAGACTTCTAGTTTACTCAAACATGTAGGTGGGTGTAAACAAAACCCGACTAAGCTACATGATCAAACTCAAACCAAATTGAATCTAAAGAAGGAGACAAATGGGGAGACTAGTGTTAAAACATGGAAACATGATGATGCTAGAATCAAAAAATCATTACGTAACCTTTTTGTGGTAGGCGAACTACCTTTCAAGTTCGTTCAAAACAAGGCTTTTGTGGAATACACCAACACACTTAATGCTAAGTTTATGTGGTCATCAAGACATACGATATCCCGGAATATTTCCAAGTTTTACATAAAAGAAAGAACCAAAATTCTTCAATTTTTAAGTAACCAAATACCGCTATACATTTGACAACAGACATCTTATACTTGGTGGTCACGTCTCACTTCATAGACGAGAATTGGATAATGCACAAGAGAATTATAAACTTTTGGGAGATAGATAGCCATAAGGGAGATGATATGGGCCGAGAATTACTCGATTGTATTCGCGGATGGGAAATGAAAAATGTCATGATCGTTACCTTGGACCTTATCGTAAAGTTGTCTAATTTTTATGAGGGTGGAAAGAATTTCCAAGTTAGGTGTATGACCCACATTTTAAACATTATCATAAAGGATGGACTAAAATACTAAAACTATCATGTTTAGTGTATCCAAAACGCAGTACGATATATTAGATTGTCACCACAAAGAATAAACAAGTTCAAGAAGATTATAAAAGATTGTGGATTACAAACGAAGAAGTTTCTATGTGGTGACACCCCTACCCGATGGAACTCGACTTTCAAGTTATTGAAGTTCGCATACCAGATTTGAGAGGCATTTATGGAATTTGGCATAAGAGGTAATATTTATTTTTAAGTTATATTTCTGATTTTCAGCATGATTTTTAAATTTTTATAATCTGTAAAAAAAAATTTAAACAACCAAAACTCATTCGTTTTAAATGGGATTGACATGTGGTTTTTTCCAATGTTTAGTTTATAGTTGGTAGACGATTTTAGACTATAATTTTGTTGTTTTTGGTGTAATATTCAATGATTTATAGTCCTTTAAAGTTGAGCTATCAAAGTTGAAATATTTTAGCTTTTCAGCAAGAATTTAAAAAATTTGTAATCTGTGAAATTTTTTAAACAACCTTAACTCATTCGTTTTAAGTCACATTTACATTCAGTTTTTTCCAACATTTAGTTTACAGTTTGCAGATGAATTTTATACTATAATTTTGTTGTTTTTGGTGTTACGTATTCAATGAGTTACAATCCTTTAAAGTTGAGCTATCAAAACTGAAATATTTCAGTTTTTCAACAATATTTTTAAAATTTTATAATCTGTGAAAAATTTTAAACAACCATAACTCATTCTTTTTAAGTCGGTTTGACATGCGGTTTTTTCCAAAATTTAATTTGCAGTTTGTAGATGAATTTAGACAATAATTTTGTTGTTTTTGGTGTTATATTCAATGAGTTACAATCCTTCAAATAAACTATCAAAGCTGAAATATTTAAGCTTTTTAGCTATTATTTTAGAATATAATTCTGAATTTTATGTATCTTTGATAGATAAATCATATGCAAAGGATCTCGATAGAGAAAAAGTATGATTTTGAAATTGTAACAAAAATGGTAAAGTTCTTTGAAAAATTCAAGACAAAAAAACATAGCTTGTTTCAGCTACATCAAAACCTTTGGTAAATCTTTTTATCCGGGAAGTCTTAGATTTTGACATACATCTAAGAAAGTGGTCAACCATTTTTTTCTCAAAATGTTAAAGGACATGAAGACGAAATACGACAAGTATTGGGGTGCATACAACAAGATGAACGATTTTATGTACTTTGCGGTTTTACTTAATCCTACCACCAAATCACGTTTTTTTGGTACATGCATTTAAAAAAAAATGATCTGCTACATGTAAGCACGATAAATGGTCTGAAAGGTTGAGAATAAGATGGAGAATTTATTTATGACCTACATGGAACGATTTGACAATAGTGGATCATCTCAACAAGAAGTGAGTCAAATAATCATTGATGTTGATGATGATAATAATTTTTCGGCGATTTTTTTTGTATGAGAGGTAGCAACTCGGATCCAATAGATAAAGAGTTACAAACTTATTTGAAAGAGAATATAGTTAATTATAAAAAAGAATTTTCAATTATAGGGTGATGGAGAGTAAATGCGACTAGGTTCCCGACAGTTGCTCGGATGGCGAAAGATGATTACTTTTTTTAGTCTTTCATAGTTTCTTATAAATTAGTGTCGTTACAATTTAATTCTTTGTTTTTAGACATATTGGCGATACATATCTCAAGTGTAGCGTCTGTGTCCGCGTTTAGCGCATGTGGTAGAGTAGTAAGTGAGTACCGGACTAGTTTATCGACATTGATAGTTGAAGCTTTGTTATGCACCCAAGTTTGGGTGAGAAAGTCTACAAATCCGATAATTGACGACGTTGACGACATTTTAAACGATGATGATATAACTTTGAGTAAAAAAAATTTACAATCTTTGTTCTGTTTTTAATACAATTATTACTTTTTATTAAATACTAACAACATTTTCATTTGTGTTTATGTAGATATTATACAAGCTTTAAACATGTTAGATGTGAATGACAATGATACGGGGGAAGAGGCTTGTAGAAGATTAGATTATAAGTTTATGAAGTTTTGTTAGTTTGATTGATTTTAAAGTTTAAAGTGTGATTTTTGGTGTTACGGTAATACTTTTGTATGTTTATACTAAGATTGTTAACTTTTGTTAGTGAACTTGATTTATATGTTAGTTGCTTTTATTTGGAAAATTAATTTTGCAATTTATAATATTATAGATCAAGGTAGATTAGTTATGCACGAAACGGAAATATATTCATTTTTACAAGTTGTATCATATCAAACCTAAAAACGTATTCATTTTTACAACTTGTAACGTATTAAACCCAACAACATATTCGTTTTAATGAGTTGTATCAGACCCAAAAATTTATTTTAACGACTTGTACTCTATGCAAGTAAAGTTGTATCAGTCTAACCGTATCCAAAAACAAGAAAAACCGGACCCGGACCTGGATTATGTAAGTCTCAATCCGGTTCGATCCACGGTCCACAATATTTTTTGAAACCGGTCCGGTCCATAAACCAGTTCGGTCAGGTTCAGTCCGGTCTGGTCCAAATGCTCACCCCTAGTTTCAAGACTTCTTCATTGCTGCCATCACTTCTTCTTTCCCGCAACTTCAACTGTAAATTTTTTAAGTTTATTCTTTCCTCCGGCGACCTCAGCTTTTAATTCTTTTCTCTGGCGACCCTACTGTTAAAGCTTTTATTCTTCTTCTTTTTGAGATGGAAAATTGAAACGGAAACGGGATACTGAAATTTGGATACCGAATTGGGGATTCCATTCTTTTTATTTCCTTTGACGACCAAAGTGTATCTCGCTCTACATTTTGGAAATGGAAAATTGAAACGGAATTGGGCACCAGAGAAACTCTTTTATCTGGTTCTCACCTTCGAAACGTATTTGTGTATATGCTTATACTAATAGTAGAATATGTTATTATGCTTATAGTAATAGTAGAATATGTTATTTATAAGTTCTCTATTTGTGTGAACATTAATTCCTACATATTTGAACATTTAATCATATTATTTACATAATCCAAACTTCCTTGAAACAGGCAACCAAATCTAAAAAAAAAAAAAAAAAAAAAAAAAAAAAAAAAAAAAAGGTACCAAATTGGAACACCTTTTTCTATTATGTCTTGGAAAATATTTTCATTCCTCAAAAAAAAAAAAAAGAAACCAGTATAGGTAATTTCATTACAAATCGATAAGCCATCGAATCTCTAATATCACTACAACAAAACATACCAAAAGAAACATACAAAAAATATATAACTAATTAACATATAAAAATAAATAATGGAGAAAACCAAACCAAAAATTGACTAAAGCAGCCCGTATTCGTCTATTAGATGTTACTAGGACTATTATGCCTTTTCTTTTAAACTCCAAATAACAAGAATTACGAGTTGATAGTTGCTTGAATTTCTTCCAAGCTTTTTCCTTTGGTTTCTGGCACCATTTTCACTACAAACACAATGGTAATAATACCAAATCCCGAAAACAACCAAAAGGTACCTACACCAACACACAAACGCAACAAAAATCTTTAGACCATGAATTCAAATTCTAACTATATATAAGTAGTGCGTACCCTCAGGACTCCAATTGATGAGGAAGTTGAAACTGTAAGAAACCACCCACGCACCCAACCAATTCACTAGCACAACAAGACTCCCTGCTGCACCTTTTATGTGCAATGGAAATATCTATGCGAACCAAATACAAAAGGCATGCATGCACCCGTTTGTTAAATGAAACTAGGATGGATGCTATAATATAATATAATAAACAAAAGTATATATATATGTTCCTATTACTTAAAGTAACTAAATTTTGAAAGGTTACCTCAGACATGATCAGCCAAGGTACTGCTCCCATTCCTATTTGAAAATGCTGCTATGAATACCAGAACACCAGAGGCAGCAAGAAGCGGAGCCCATCCAAGGAACATGGCTTGTCCCTGGATTAATCAAACACTCAGATTTTTTTTAGTGTAGCAAGAAATAACAATGTACTTTCATTTATTTGTTTATGATATATAGCATCTTACTTTCATTTCTTTCTATTACAATGTTGTAATACGAAGAAATGAATGTAGGAATTAGGATGCTATATATATATATAATAAACATATAAATAAAAGTATGTTGATATTTCTTGCAAATATATAACCCATATAAGCAACGAGCATGAACCATGAAATAAAATGCAGTTCCGGTAAGAAAAACGCCAAGACATGTCCCGCATGAAGAAATCTGATAGGATAGCAACAAACAAAATGTTAGTTTTTTTTGCAATATTTATAACCCTTGACTTTTGAGAGTCAGGAGTATAAATTTAATTAGTTCAAAGGTTATAATCTGCTCTGTACTTACCAGAAGGAGAATCCTTCTTCCTGATATGTCCAGCAAGATCATGCCAACAATCGTGATAGGAATCTGGATTTAACAATTAATAATATATTAACACAATACAAATTAAAAGAATAGAACCAAGAAAAGAATTAGGACTTAATGGAGAAACACTATTTATTCTATATTAAGTCGTTCTTTCTACCTGAATCAAGGCATAAGCAATGGTTCCAGATTTCCCTGAGGCAAATCCTGTGGATAAAAAGTGATCACAAAATCATTAAACTAAGCAGTTAATGATCATATGTTCCAAATTAAGTCGTAATTAATTTGGGTTACCAGCAGTTTTAAAGATTTCACTTGCATAGAATCCGATTCCATTTATTCCACACCATTGTTGGCATACCATCAATCCAACACCAATCTAAAACGTGCATGCATAAACCAAAAACAAATTCTAATAGAATAAAATTTATAATTCATCAAGTAACTAAAGAAAAAATAAAAATGTCCTTTGCTTACAATAACCGGTTTTATGTATCTCGCATCAAACAAATCCAGTACTCCAGCTTGAGGAAGTTTTTGAAGATCAATTATAGTTTCCTATATTTATAAAAAAAAAAAAAAAAAAAAATCCCACTCTTTGGTCAGATCAAATTGTTAACTTATCAATTTTGCTTTGCACTAAGTTAATATAGCAGAAAAACTATAACTATATTACATGTATCTCTTCGGCTTCAGCAGAAATGTTTGCTTTTGCTCCACGGAGTTGGCGTAAAGAAGATTGAAATTCTACTTCACGTCCGACTTTTGCCTAAAATAATATATAATTTATCATCTCCTAAACTATTAAAAAAAACCCTAATTTTTCCAATTTGTAAGAACGTACGAGCCATCTTGGGGATTCTGGGATAAACATTAGGCCAATCACCAGAAGAACAGGGGGAACGATTCCTGCAAATCATATATTCAATCACTTGTAAGTTTTTGGATTCATGGTTAATTTTTTTTAGTACTTTTGCTGTTTTACATACCGATTAAAGCTAAAGATCTCCATGTAACAATTGTTCCCACCAAAAACGATATTGATGAACCAGTTACAATCATGAGCTGCATAAATTATAAATTAATTAACAGAAAAATATGAAGTACTGATACTAACTGAGCTCCATGCTTATTCATAGTAAGGAAATTTAAGGGTTTTAATTAACCTGATTGATGGTTGTTAGCCCTCCACGAAGCTCTTTTGGCGATATCTCAGCGATATATATTGGGACCTATACATATGTGTGTTAATTAACACTTTAATTTTCATATGTTTGTGGAGTTAATATATAGCGCTTATTTCAAGTTTGAATGTAATTTTGGCAATTTAATTACCACATAAGAGAAAATTCCTATTCCATATCCAGTGAAGAACCTGCCAGTATCAAGCGAAACAGCTCCCTGAAGTAAGAAAATAAAATAACTTGAAAAATGCATAATTGGTTTGATATAATGTTGGAATTTGAAAATTAATTAATAAAATTAGTTATTATTATGATAACTGTGATTTAATTACCATGGCAAAATAGATTGCAAGCCATCCTGCTACGCAAAACACGGAGGACAATGCCATTGCCTGCATGTGTTGTGTTTTCATCATCATCATCATCGATCATCGATCATGGATAGTAGATAATTAATTAAACACAAGTGTCAGGAAACATGAATCTCTGAATATATTTCGCAGGTTGTACTTCATGCAGATATAGTTGTACAATACCATCACATGTATATGACAGTCATGTGCATGTGTACATGTTACATGATAATACTATATTAAAAGTTCGTTCGTCAACATGCATGCATGGGGAAAAATCATTCTTGAAACTTGAAGAAAACAATTAAAACAAATTGAACTGAAAATCGTAACACAGAAGCTAGAGTCAAATCAATGAAGCACTCTTTATACAAAATGTTATAATTCATACCCCTTTTCGACCAATTGTATCTGCAATTCTACCGCTGGTGACTGCTCCAATCATTGCACTGATGGTTACTATCGACCCGAAAAGGGCATACTGCATGAATTCATGATACGATATATTAAACGATTAATTATAGAATCCATCACAATTCACAATCAGTAATTGTGATCAATTGATGAAGAACAATAGCGATTTACTTGAGCAACCGATAAATTTAAATCAATGCTGAGAGCGGCTTGAGTAGGAGCAGTATATCCCACCTGCACAAGCACAACGATTTCAAAATCCACCAAAACAAAACCCTCGTTCTTCTTCTTTCGCAGATTCAATTCAAAATCAAAATCAAAATCAAACAAATTGCTTTGATCAACTTACACACGTTCCGAATTCGAGAGAGCCACACACCGCAACAGCCGTGCTTAGAAGAACCATCGCGATTGAGCCTGAAGCATTTTGATCGGTTTGTTTAGAACGATGGACGCCTTTTGAACTATCGTCTATAAAAGGCTCCGCCAATTTTTCGAGCCCTTTTTTATCCCCTCTCTCAACGTCTCTATGCGTCGCCATATTATTAGTTTGTGTGGATTTCGCTCAAATGGGGACAATGAAAACAGGCCTAGATTAATATATATGGGAAGAGAAGAGGTAATGATTATGGTGGCGATAGGAGAATGACGATTTTATAATGAGTATGATGAAAACTTCAGAAACACCACCAACATTGCCTCATGCATCCATCAATGGCATAAAAGAAAAGAAATAATGGGTGGGATGAATTTACGCTGAAATTCATGAAATTTTGTTCGTTTTTGAACCGTTTACACATAAAATGTTTTTTTAAGTACTCGGTCTTTCCATGTCCATAATATCTCTGACCAAACACGTTCCTAATTTAAACATATTTTAAGTAAATTATAAATTCCATCCATAAATGTGCTTGTTTTTGGTCTATGCATAAGAGTGATCACGATTTTGATCATTTGAGTTAAAGAAAATTGATAACCATATTCTTTGAGCCGCATATGCGGAATCCGCCCCAAGGCCCGTTCATGATTCATGATTTTTTGGACATGATTTGAACAACTAAAACTTCTATGTTAAATTTCACACTTCAACAAGTAATCTCCATCACTGATGGTTAATTAAATTGCGTTGATTTTAGTGTCACTATATTATTTTGGAAATTGCAGATTACATACTTGAATAAAACGAATTTGATATCGGTTCGACCAAAATGACAGGTGGGTCCTATGGACAACGACCCTAGCAGAGTCTAAGGACAACATCCATGGTGGGGTCCCTAGGTGCCACCTCATTTTACCCTTGCGAGATCGTAGGGGCAGTGTCCCTAACAGGGTTCAAGATCTTGAATACTTAACAAGTTACAACAACTTTTTTCAAATGTAAGCTAAAAAGTTGTTTTCTAAATCTAATACAAAGACTTTTTGGTGTAATCATCCCTTGGTCATTCACCTCTTATTTTTACTTTGTCACCAAGGTGTTACTTTGTTTTTCCTCGCTCTTATCCCACTCATTAAACCTAGAAAATAGTCACTTCCTACTTCTTCTAACTTTATACTGTCCACAACCAGGAAATACCAAATACAATTGTTTTCAAAATTCATATTAAGTATAATTTTGTTTCAAATTATCAGAGTGTCCCAAAAGAAAACATCCGAGAGAATGCACGCCGTGCCATCAAGCCTTGCCCTTGGGCTCAGATGTACTTGAAAGAAATTCATAAACTGTAACCTAATGCTTAGTGAGTCCTTCATAGCATACCCCACACATAATCCACATAATACATATCATATTAGCTAATAAGCTACATATATATCACAGAAGTCATGCATATAAACATATAAGGATGTCGTGGAAACCTTCCAAGGTCTTACACCGAGTGTCACTGGAAATCCCTACGTGGTCTTTACTAGCCGCCACTGGAACCCCCACACGGTCTTGGCTAATTGTCGCGGGAACCTCCACACGGTCTTCACTAATCATAGACATATCATACGAGCTAAACAAATATACATACTAAAGTGACGTGGAAACCCTCCAAGGACTTAAATATAATGTCATGGGAACCTCCTCATGGTCTTAATATATTGCCCCAGGAACCCCCGGGGACTGTCATACAGATATCCTAGAAACATTTCACATAACAAACTATCGATCCATATAACATTAAATGGACCGGCCTTGGTGTCTTCGACCCATTAGTATGATGAGAAGACTCACCTCTGTCTGCTGAATCCAAAAGTTGCTCTCCTAACAGTCTGTAATCCTTTGTGCTGAACAATCATATTATTACTCAAGGTTAGGACTAAACACTATCCAATTGTAAACCCCACACCCAAGTCCTTTCATAAAAGCCCAAAGAGTCTTCCTTTGTTAATGGGCCCAAGGCCAATGTCCAAAATCATTAATGGGCCTCATGGCCCAATAAGGTCCAACCAACGTATCCATGGCCCAAAATAGATGACCCACTAACTCCAAAACGTGATCAGACCCCAATACTATTTAGGGCCCAAAAGCATGCAAGCCCAAAATAAGTCCAAGTTCATCTGTTGTGCGTACGCCTTGCATACCACCCTGGTACGCGCCGCGTACTGAGTCCCTGGGCAGTACGCGCGGCGTACTCTAAGTTACGCTCGGCGTACTAACAGATTAAGTACTTTCTTCCATTAAGTGCTTAATACTCGATGTTCTTACGTTCAATATCATATCTGAGCTTATTAAGACGTCCTAGGGCATAAAGTTGGCAACTATATGCCCTTACATGTTATATGTGACATAAAAACTTTATTCTTCACATTAGGACTTCATATAAGGATTCAAACTCATGCAAGGAGTCTAAATGCTTCCCAAGCTTGCACCTTTATGCACTTAGTGTGCTTACACAGCTCAGATCTAATCATATCAACCTTTGGAGTTGCTCAACTCTCAGGATGAGATCCAAAACCAACTAAAGGGACCATAGAGAAAACCCTAGCTAGATCTATTGAATAAGATGACAAGATCAAAGCTTTATACCTCTAGAAGCTCTTCAAGGTGAACTAGATGCAGATTCTTGAAGTTCTATTACACTCCAAGCTTGCTTAATGTAACGCCCGTAGATCAGGGATAGTCAATTTAGAGACGATAGGCGTTAAAAATGAATTTATGATGAAAGATTATTTAGAATGAATAATCTTAACTAAGTTTTAGTATATGTTACAAGGATTCCGTACATATAAAGAACGCCGAAATCCGAGTTATAACGAAGAAGTTATGACCTGTCGAAGTTTCGCGACAGAACCGGCACGACACAGCGCGACGTAAAAAGTGAATTTACGTTAGAGCGATATTTAGCCTTAGAAATCTAAATAAAAGTTTTATAATACGTTAAACTATGAGCGTGCACAAAAAGAACGCCTAAATGTGACTTCGTACAAGGAAGTTATGTTTTTTCGAAGTTTTGACTTAGCAGTACGCAGCCCGAATACTCGATTTGAGACCGAGTGGTTTTTAGTCGAAACAATCTAAATGAGAATCGAAGATCTCATTAACTGTAGTAAAACGATAAAAAGATAGGCGAAAACGGACGTCGAATGAAGAAGTTATGATTTTATAACGGAGTTTTCCTGTCCCGGCCTACTAAAAATAAATAAAAAAAATAAATTCAAAATTAGCCGACGAAGTCTAAACGAAAGTTGTAGAGCATAGTCTCACCTATGCGGGGATATAAAGAACATCGAAAACGAAGTTCATATGAGGAAGATATGAATTTTTGAAGTTTATTAAATATTTTTGATATTTAATTTAATTATAAATTAACCGATATTATCCATGGGGGGAGTCAGCGATCTGATCCACGTTACGCCCAGCGTAATTTGGGTTTCCAGCCCCCTATAAAAGGGTGTCGAGGGTAGCCGAGTTCTTTGCTCATTTCTTCCCTTTCTCTCGCGTTTTTGCATCGTTTTTCGTGCAAGAATTATCCCGAAGCCCCGGTATCATTCCCGAGCCCCGAAGCAAGTCCCGAGGCCCCGAAGATCCCGAGGAGTGCAATTCCCGAGCCGAATCTCTCTCCGCGAGAAGTTCGGTTTTTGTGAAGATCTTCCAGATCTACCGAAGAATACTACTTCTACAAGCCGTAGTGCTGTCCGATCATCTTCTGATCAAGTGAGTGTGTAGTTACTTTCTTCTAACGCATAATTATGAAGTATTTTATACGAAATACGTGTTATGTGTATAATATAAAGTTGTTTATATGTGTGAGTGTATAGTCACTTTCATCTTACGCATAGATATGAAGTATTTGCTATGAAATACATGCTATGTGTTTATACATTGTTTGTTTACTTGAGATGGATGCTGAATGAATGTTTTATACGAGTTTTTAAATAAGTTGTATATGTAATTTATATCTACAAATATGTTGGGTAGAACATGGGTAGATGAAATAGTTGATGTGTGTTGAAAGAATGTGATAAGAGAAAGGTGAGGATATAATGGTGATGATAATTAGGTGATGATAGATAGATGATGAATTACGAGTTCAAGCGATGTTGTGGCTACGTATTCATGCGATCATAGTCTATCCCTTATTATGAATTACGAGTCCAGGTGATGTTGTGGCTACGTATTCATGCGATGATAGTCTAACCCTTATTATGATTTACGAGTCCAGACGATGTTGTGGCTGTGTAATCATGCGATGATACCCTAACCCTAACTAGACATATATTGAGGGAGTGATCCCCGAATTAGCATTGTATATATGATATAGGCGATGATCCTTAGGAAAAGTTCTTAGGAACAAGCATATAAGGATATAAGATGTAAGGAGATGAGCGGTAAATATGATATAGGAGATGAACCTTAGGATAATATCTTTAGGGAATATTAAAAGAAGATAATGGGGATGGGTAATTGGGTTGGTTTTTTGATGATTGAATATAATAATTATATTATTGTGGGTTGAAAACCCTATATGCTCACCAGGCTCCCAAGCCTGACCCACTCAGTTTAATTGTATCACAGGTATCGATACGAAGCTGCTTTGCACTGAGAGATTAAAGGAGATGTAAATCTTTAGTGTAATTGAATGTAAGTTCTGTTTATGCTTATATGTTTGTATCGGAACATGACATCCCGAGGTTTTATTATTAAATGAAAATACATTCTCTTTGAGAAATGTTTTGATAAGTTATTATCATATCTTGTTTTGGGAACAAATTCCGCAACCGTTTTCTTTAAAAGATTACTCTGATTTTATAAAACAAAACATAAACAAATCGGTCTTTTCTGGCCGTGAAAATGGGGATGTCACACTTAGCAACTCCTTCTTTTTGAATGCACACTAAAATGGCCTCAAATGCACTCCTTAAGCTCAAAACACTCTCTCTAATGATCTTAGGGTTTTTAGGGACATTTAAAGGTGAAAGAGGCTGATTAGGGTGAAGCCCAAATGAGATAAAAATGCTTATATAGGTCTCAAGTTGGAAATTAGGGTGTGCACATCCATCGCGTACGCCCCACATACTCTTTGGTATGCGCATCGTACGTGCTTGCCCTTCGCGATCATCCGTGCGTGGTACGCTAAGCGTACTCATGAAGTACGCCCAACGTACTTAAGGGACTTACTATGCAATAAATAAAATTTCAAGGGTTTCAACAGTAATACCTGGTTTGGAGTGTTACATATTTTCTTTTTATTTTAAATAAAATTAAGATACTATAATTTAATAAAAAAATTATCAATAAACACAAAATAAAAAAATGGAAATATTTCATTATTTGATAAAAAAACATAT